ATCAGAACACAAAAAATATGCGATACATAGCAAAAGATAGGCACAACGTGGGAAATGTGCACTAATTTATACAACCTAGCCAATAAAGATCTATAACGCGCAAAAAAATTAACCAATAGCATAAACAAAATGTATAAGTCCACTTCAAACTTACGTCGTGAATTAATAGATGGAATAAGTTTAATAGCCAAATCCTTATTTGGAACGATGGATGCCGACGACGAAAAGATTATAAACGAACAATTACATCTATTACAAAACAAAGAGGAAACGATACAACACGCAATAAAAAATCAGTTACAAATTCTAAACGAAACTATAGGACACTTAGGTAACTTAGAAGAAACATTAGACAATAATTTCAAAATAGTATGGAATAATATGAATCAATTTTATAGAGCAGAAGCAGAAATCTACAAAAAAGAACAAATTACTGAACACGCAGTAATAAACGACTTAACGAAAGACATTAATGACATAATATCATACATAGATAACAACAAGTTGGAAAGATTACTACCCCAACTTACACCCATTGAAAATATAATCGCACAACTTAAGGAATCAACAATACACTTATCTAAAAACATATATTCACACCTGCCATGGAGTACTGGCTAGAAATAGAAAAATTCATTGAAATCAGCGCATACTACAACAACAAAACGATTTACACAATTTTGAAAATTTCTCTAATAACATATCCCACCTACACAATTATTAACACTATACTCCCAATACACAAAATAAACAACACGTTCATGTTCACAGAAACAACATACTCTAAATTCGCGATAGATACAGAATCAAATACTTACCTTACATTACACGAAAGCGAATTATTAGAATGTATTCACATAAAAAATCACTACACGTGTGGACAAGAAAACACAATTTATAAAATTCACCAAACAACACCGTGCGAAATCCAAACGTATACAAACACAAGAAATAAAGAAATATGTAAAACAAAATATATCACCGCCGAAAACACAATTTTAATTCCTTTAAAAGGAAAAAACGCATGGTTATACTTAACACACAACACACAACAATTACGTATATATGAATAACAAATACCAAAACAAGATAACAAAAACGGGAATAATTACACTTAGACGACAATGTAAATTAACCATAGAAAACACTATAATACAATCACAGGGAATAATATCAAATAACATATTAGAAATATATATATATATCAAACTATAACCTGACAATTACACTGGAAAACACGGTAGAAAATATAATTACAACACCAAACATAAATTTAACGAAAATATCGCAAAATTCGTCCGAACTACTACAACTAAAAGCAACTATCCGATATACAAGAGAATCTAGACCAAAACCCATGGCCAAACCACATAAAAATAATTTACACCACTGCGCCCAGGGTGACAGTATTTATAATTTTAATTGTAATAATAA